GATCCCCCCCGTATAGCGATCGGTAGGCCGTGGCGGTGGCTTCGCCGGCTCGTTGGCGCCCGAATATGGCACGATGCACTTATCCGTGGCCTTGCGCACCTATGGAGCTATTGCACACAGCCTAGCAGTGCGTAGCGGCGTATTCGCGATGTTCAGGCGGCATGCCGACTGTACGCCCCGTATAGCGATCGGTAGGCCGTGGCGGTGGCTTCGCCGGCTCGTCGGGGCCCGAATATGACACGATGCACTTATCCGTGGCCTTGCGCACCTATGGAGCTATTGCACACAGCCTAGCAGTGCGTAGCGGCGTATTCGCGATGTTCAGGCGGCATGCCGACTGTACGCCCCGTATAGCGATCGGTAGGCCGTGGCGGTGGCTTCGCCGGCTCGTCGGGGCCCGAATATGACACGATGCACTTATCCGTGGCCTTGCGCACCTATGGAGCTATTGCACACAGCCTAGCAGTGCGTAGCGGCGTATTCGCGATGTTCAGGCGGCATGCCGACTGTACGCCCCGTATAGCGATCGGTAGGCCGTGGCGGTGGCTTCGCCGGCTCGTCGGGGCCCGAATATGACACGATGCACTTATCCGTGGCCTTGCGCACCTATGGAGCTATTGCACACAGCCTAGCAGTGCGTAGCGGCGTATTCGCGATGTTCAGGCGGCATGCCGACTGTACGCCCCGTATAGCGATCGGTAGGCCGTGGCGGTGGCTTCGCCGGCTCGTCGGGGCCCGAATATGACACGATGCACTTATCCGTGGCCTTGCGCACCTATGGAGCTATTGCACACAGCCTAGCAGTGCGTAGCGGCGTATTCGCGATGTTCAGGCGGCATGCCGACTGTACGCCCCGTATAGCGATCGGTAGGCCGTGGCGGTGGCTTCGCCGGCTCGTCGGGGCCCGAATATGACACGATGCACTTATCCGTGGCCTTGCGCACCTATGGAGCTATTGCACACAGCCTAGCAGTGCGTAGTGGTGTATTCGCGATGTTCAGGCGGCATGCCGACTGTACGCCCCGTATAGCGATCGGTAGGCCGTGGCGGTGGCTTCGCTGGCTCGTCGGGGCCCGAATATGACACGATGCACTTATCCGTGGCCTTGCGCACCTATGGAGCTATTGCACACAGCCTAGCAGTGCGTAGCGGCGTATTCGCGATGTTCAGGCGGCATGCCGACTGTACGCCCCGTATAGCGATCGGTAGGCCGTGGCGGTGGCTTCGCCGGCTCGTCGGGGCCCGAATATGACACGATGCACTTATCCGTGGCCTTGCGCACCTATGGAGCTATTGCACACAGCCTAGCAGTGCGTAGCGGCGTATTCGCGATGTTCAGGCGGCATGCCGACTGTACGCCCCGTATAGCGATCGGTAGGCCGTGGCGGTGGCTTCGCCGGCTCGTCGGGGCCCGAATATGACACGATGCACTTATCCGTGGCCTTGCGCACCTATGGAGCTATTGCACACAGCCTAGCAGTGCGTAGCGGTGTATTCGCGATGTTCAGGCGGCATGCCGACTGTACGCCCCGTATAGCGATCGGTAGGCCGTGGCGGTGGCTTCGCCGGCTCGTCGGGGCCCGAATATGACACGATGCACTTATCCGTGGCCTTGCGCACCTATGGAGCTATTGCACACAGCCTAGCAGTGCGTAGCGGCGTATTCGCGATGTTCAGGCGGCATGCCGACTGTACGCCCCGTATAGCGATCGGTAGGCCGTGGCGGTGGCTTCGCCGGCTCGTCGGGGCCCGAATATGACACGATGCACTTATCCGTGGCCTTGCGCACCTATGGAGCTATTGCACACAGCCTAGCAGTGCGTAGCGGCGTATTCGCGATGTTCAGGCGGCATGCCGACTGTACGCCCCGTATAGCGATCGGTAGGCCGTGGCGGTGGCTTCGCCGGCTCGTCGGGGCCCGAATATGACACGATGCACTTATCCGTGGCCTTGCGCACCTATGGAGCTATTGCACACAGCCTAGCAGTGCGTAGCGGCGTATTCGCGATGTTCAGGCGGCATGCCGACTGTACGCCCCGTATAGCGATCGGTAGGCCGTGGCGGTGGCTTCGCCGGCTCGTCGGGGCCCGAATATGACACGATGCACTTATCCGTGGCCTTGCGCACCTATGGAGCTATTGCACACAGCCTAGCAGTGCGTAGCGGCGTATTCGCGATGTTCAGGCGGCATGCCGACTGTACGCCCCGTATAGCGATCGGTAGGCCGTGGCGGTGGCTTCGCCGGCTCGTCGGGGCCCGAATATGACACGATGCACTTATCCGTGGCCTTGCGCACCTATGGAGCTATTGCACACAGCCTAGCAGTGCGTAGCGGCGTATTCGCGATGTTCAGGCGGCATGCCGACTGTACGCCCCGTATAGCGATCGGTAGGCCGTGGCGGTGGCTTCGCCGGCTCGTTGGCGCCCGAATATGGCACGATGCACTTATCCGTGGCCTTGCGCACGTATGGAGCTATTGCACACAGCCTAGCAGTGCGTAGCGGCGTATTCGCGATGTTCAGGCGGCATGCCGACTGTACGCCCCGTATAGCGATCGGTAGGCCGTGGCGGTGGCTTCGCCGGCTCGTCGGGGCCCGAATATGACACGATGCACTTATCCGTGGCCTTGCGCACCTATGGAGCTATTGCACACAGCCTAGCAGTGCGTAGCGGCGTATTCGCGATGTTCAGGCGGCATGCCGACTGTACGCCCCGTATAGCGATCGGTAGGCCGTGGCGGTGGCTTCGCCGGCTCGTTGGCGCCCGAATATGGCACGATACACCTAACCATGGCCTTGCGCACGTATGGAGCTATTGCACACAGCCTAGCAGTGCGTAGTGGTGTATTCGCGATGTTCAGGCGGCATGCCGACTGTACGCCCCGTATAGCGATCGGTAGGCCGTGGCGGTGGCTTCGCCGGCTCGTCGGGGCCCGAATATGACACGATGCACTTATCCGTGGCCTTGCGCACCTATGGAGCTATTGCACACAGCCTAGCAGTGCGTAGTGGTGTATTCGCGATGTTCAGGCGGCATGCCGACTGTACGCCCCGTATAGCGATCGGTAGGCCGTGGCGGTGGCTTCGCTGGCTCGTCGGGGCCCGAATATGACACGATGCACTTATCCGTGGCCTTGCGCACCTATGGAGCTATTGCACACAGCCTAGCAGTGCGTAGCGGCGTATTCGCGATGTTCAGGCGGCATGCCGACTGTACGCCCCGTATAGCGATCGGTAGGCCGTGGCGGTGGCTTCGCCGGCTCGTCGGGGCCCGAATATGACACGATGCACTTATCCGTGGCCTTGCGCACCTATGGAGCTATTGCACACAGCCTAGCAGTGCGTAGCGGCGTATTCGCGATGTTCAGGCGGCATGCCGACTGTACGCCCCGTATAGCGATCGGTAGGCCGTGGCGGTGGCTTCGCCGGCTCGTCGGGGCCCGAATATGACACGATGCACTTATCCGTGGCCTTGCGCACCTATGGAGCTATTGCACACAGCCTAGCAGTGCGTAGCGGTGTATTCGCGATGTTCAGGCGGCATGCCGACTGTACGCCCCGTATAGCGATCGGTAGGCCGTGGCGGTGGCTTCGCCGGCTCGTTGGCGCCCGAATATGGCACGATACACCTAACCATGGCCTTGCGCACGTATGGAGCTATTGCACACAGCCTAGCAGTGCGTAGCGGCGTATTCGCGATGTTCAGGCGGCATGCCGACTGTACGCCCCGTATAGCGATCGGTAGGCCGTGGCGGTGGCTTCGCCGGCTCGTCGGGGCCCGAATATGACACGATGCACTTATCCGTGGCCTTGCGCACCTATGGAGCTATTGCACACAGCCTAGCAGTGCGTAGCGGCGTATTCGCGATGTTCAGGCGGCATGCCGACTGTACGCCCCGTATAGCGATCGGTAGGCCGTGGCGGTGGCTTCGCCGGCTCGTCGGGGCCCGAATATGACACGATGCACTTATCCGTGGCCTTGCGCACCTATGGAGCTATTGCACACAGCCTAGCAGTGCGTAGCGGTGTATTCGCGATGTTCAGGCGGCATGCCGACTGTACGCCCCGTATAGCGATCGGTAGGCCGTGGCGGTGGCTTCGCCGGCTCGTTGGCGCCCGAATATGGCACGATACACCTAACCATGGCCTTGCGCACGTATGGAGCTATTGCACACAGCCTAGCAGTGCGTAGTGGTGTATTCGCGATGTTCAGGCGGCATGCCGACTGTACGCCCCGTATAGCGATCGGTAGGCCGTGGCGGTGGCTTCGCCGGCTCGTCGGGGCCCGAATATGACACGATGCACTTATCCGTGGCCTTGCGCACCTATGGAGCTATTGCACACAGCCTAGCAGTGCGTAGTGGTGTATTCGCGATGTTCAGGCGGCATGCCGACTGTACGCCCCGTATAGCGATCGGTAGGCCGTGGCGGTGGCTTCGCCGGCTCGTTGGCGCCCGAATATGGCACGATGCACTTATCCGTGGCCTTGCGCACCTATGGAGCTATTGCACACAGCCTAGCAGTGCGTAGCGGTGTATTCGCGATGTTCAGGCGGCATGCCGACTGTACGCCCCGTATAGCGATCGGTAGGCCGTGGCGGTGGCTTCGCCGGCTCGTCGGGGCCCGAATATGACACGATGCACTTATCCGTGGCCTTGCGCACCTATGGAGCTATTGCACACAGCCTAGCAGTGCGTAGCGGCGTATTCGCGATGTTCAGGCGGCATGCCGACTGTACGCCCCGTATAGCGATCGGTAGGCCGTGGCGGTGGCTTCGCCGGCTCGTCGGGGCCCGAATATGACACGATGCACTTATCCGTGGCCTTGCGCACCTATGGAGCTATTGCACACAGCCTAGCAGTGCGTAGCGGCGTATTCGCGATGTTCAGGCGGCATGCCGACTGTACGCCCCGTATAGCGATCGGTAGGCCGTGGCGGTGGCTTCGCCGGCTCGTCGGGGCCCGAATATGACACGATGCACTTATCCGTGGCCTTGCGCACCTATGGAGCTATTGCACACAGCCTAGCAGTGCGTAGCGGCGTATTCGCGATGTTCAGGCGGCATGCCGACTGTACGCCCCGTATAGCGATCGGTAGGCCGTGGCGGTGGCTTCGCCGGCTCGTCGGGGCCCGAATATGACACGATGCACTTATCCGTGGCCTTGCGCACCTATGGAGCTATTGCACACAGCCTAGCAGTGCGTAGCGGTGTATTCGCGATGTTCAGGCGGCATGCCGACTGTACGCCCCGTATAGCGATCGGTAGGCCGTGGCGGTGGCTTCGCCGGCTCGTCGGGGCCCGAATATGACACGATGCACTTATCCGTGGCCTTGCGCACCTATGGAGCTATTGCACACAGCCTAGCAGTGCGTAGCGGCGTATTCGCGATGTTCAGGCGGCATGCCGACTGTACGCCCCGTATAGCGATCGGTAGGCCGTGGCGGTGGCTTCGCCGGCTCGTCGGGGCCCGAATATGGCACGATGCACTTATCCGTGGCCTTGCGCACCTATGGAGCTATTGCACACAGCCTGCGGTGTATTCGCGATGTTCAGGCGGCATGCCGACTGTACGCCCCGTATAGCGATCGGTAGGCCGTGGCGGTGGCTTCGCCGGCTCGTCGGGGCCCGAATATGACACGATGCACTTATCCGTGGCCTTGCGCACCTATGGAGCTATTGCACACAGCCTAGCAGTGCGTAGCGGCGTATTCGCGATGTTCAGGCGGCATGCCGACTGTACGCCCCGTATAGCGATCGGTAGGCCGTGGCGGTGGCTTCGCCGGCTCGTCGGGGCCCGAATATGACACGATGCACTTATCCGTGGCCTTGCGCACCTATGGAGCTATTGCACACAGCCTAGCAGTGCGTAGCGGTGTATTCGCGATGTTCAGGCGGCATGCCGACTGTACGCCCCGTATAGCGATCGGTAGGCCGTGGCGGTGGCTTCGCCGGCTCGTCGGGGCCCGAATATGACACGATGCACTTATCCGTGGCCTTGCGCACCTATGGAGCTATTGCACACAGCCTAGCAGTGCGTAGCGGTGTATTCGCGATGTTCAGGCGGCATGCCGACTGTACGCCCCGTATAGCGATCGGTAGGCCGTGGCGGTGGCTTCGCCGGCTCGTCGGGGCCCGAATATGACACGATGCACTTATCCGTGGCCTTGCGCACCTATGGAGCTATTGCACACAGCCTAGCAGTGCGTAGCGGCGTATTCGCGATGTTCAGGCGGCATGCCGACTGTACGCCCCGTATAGCGATCGGTAGGCCGTGGCGGTGGCTTCGCCGGCTCGTCGGGGCCCGAATATGACACGATGCACTTATCCGTGGCCTTGCGCACCTATGGAGCTATTGCACACAGCCTAGCAGTGCGTAGCGGTGTATTCGCGATGTTCAGGCGGCATGCCGACTGTACGCCCCGTATAGCGATCGGTAGGCCGTGGCGGTGGCTTCGCCGGCTCGTCGGGGCCCGAATATGACACGATGCACTTATCCGTGGCCTTGCGCACCTATGGAGCTATTGCACACAGCCTAGCAGTGCGTAGCGGCGTATTCGCGATGTTCAGGCGGCATGCCGACTGTACGCCCCGTATAGCGATCGGTAGGCCGTGGCGGTGGCTTCGCCGGCTCGTCGGGGCCCGAATATGACACGATGCACTTATCCGTGGCCTTGCGCACCTATGGAGCTATTGCACACAGCCTAGCAGTGCGTAGCGGCGTATTCGCGATGTTCAGGCGGCATGCCGACTGTACGCCCCGTATAGCGATCGGTAGGCCGTGGCGGTGGCTTCGCCGGCTCGTCGGGGCCCGAATATGACACGATGCACTTATCCGTGGCCTTGCGCACCTATGGAGCTATTGCACACAGCCTAGCAGTGCGTAGCGGTGTATTCGCGATGTTCAGGCGGCATGCCGACTGTACGCCCCGTATAGCGATCGGTAGGCCGTGGCGGTGGCTTCGCCGGCTCGTTGGCGCCCGAATATGGCACGATACACCTAACCATGGCCTTGCGCACGTATGGAGCTATTGCACACAGCCTAGCAGTGCGTAGTGGTGTATTCGCGATGTTCAGGCGGCATGCCGACTGTACGCCCCGTATAGCGATCGGTAGGCCGTGGCGGTGGCTTCGCCGGCTCGTCGGGGCCCGAATATGACACGATGCACTT